AAAGAGTGAGCGGGGCAGATCGAGGCCCCGATACTGAGGGAGGGAGTGGGGCTGGGGCAGAGCCAGCTTCTGCCTAGTGGGGCAGGGCAGGGCACAGGACAGAGCTGTGGGCGGCTCATCCGGGAGATTGGAGGGGGGCTCCCCACCACAGTGCAAACCCCCGAGGGAGATTAGTGCAAGGGGTGAGGGTGGGCTCAGGGCTAGGAGCTGCACTGGCCTCTTTCCAGCTGAGGGCCTGGGCTGGGGCTGTGCTCAGGTTGGGTGGGGACAGGATGGATGGTGGCGGCGCTGGGAAGGGGGGCTATGGGGAATTTTGGGGTGGCTGTAGCACATCCTGTAGCTTCCCCTCCCAGAGCTGTCTGCCCCGCCCCCACCCACCCTGAGTGCAGCTCCAGCCCACCCCACTACTGGGAAGAGGCTGGCACAGCCCCTGACCCTGAGCCCACCATGGGCAGCCTGCCCTCACACTTGGCACATAACCAGGGGACACATGCCCCCCATGCCTCCCCCCGGGGGTGCATGCTGCAGTGGGGAGCCTCCCATCCTTCTCATCCTCCCTCCACACCTCCTGGATGAGCTGCCCGTAGCTCCATCCTGCACACTGTCCCACCCCGGCTGGGCAGCACCTGCCCCTGGCCAAACCCCACTCCCTCCCTCAGTGTGGGGGCCTCAATCTGCCCCCCCCCCACATCCCTTCACCCCCACAGGCTTACTGGCTAGACACTGCTCTCCAAGCTGCCTGGCTGCATTCCTGTCCACGTGAATGCTGTGGCTGCACGCATGCACATGGCATTTATCAGTGATATTATCAGCTACACCCACCAAAAAAAGCCAATTCCAATAATGTCAATTTTCCTTTTAGCAGTGCCTATCCAATATGAACCAATATACCGGTGCACCTCTACGGGTAATAATTATGGTATACTGATGAACTCCTGAAGGTTCCTCAATTATTATACTGCTGCTGTTCTATAGACAAATTAAGAAAACTTGCTAATAATAATTAAAAAAAAATTTAAGCCAAGGAACTGGAAGTATATTAATGACTTCCTCAATAGCCAGATAACCCAAAAAGTTTGATTTTGGGGGTCTTGTATGTTTAACTGTTGGTATAGATTGGATTACTTAAATGTCATTTATTGCATTAGTGTAACATTAATAGTCCTCCAAAAATTAATTACAAAATGTTTCAAATTCTGTATTTTCAGAAAGCAGTAGAATTTAAACTATGGGGGGGTTTAAGCCTCCATAAGTAACAGTATCATATTAGTTCCAACTTTTTAAGATGCTGTGACGGGGAACTAAGGTGTGCCTGCTCCTTCAAGAGCAGAGGCAGTTTAGCTAGGGAGCCCTGAGAGCTAGGCAGGGCTCCACAGCTGCAGGTTGCCTTGGCAGCAGGCTAATCAGGGTATTAGCTGGCACCTGCACCCGGTCAGCTGACTGGAAGGAAACAGGGCCCTGGGCACATATAAGCCTCAGGGCTGGGAGTAGCAGGGGGTTAGTTCTCTGTCAGCAGCCAGGGGGAGGGAGCTGTTGCAGAAATGCTACTTGGAGATGCTTGGTTGCCTATTCTGCTGCTGGTAAGACTACTGGGCTCTAGGAGCTCCTAAAGTATCCGGGGCTAGGAGGCACGCATTGCTGAGGGAGAAGCTCACCTTCTTAAAGGGGCAGAGTGTGATCTCCAATGTTATTGCTGTTGTTATGATACAGCCCAGGGGCTTGTATTTGTTATTTGAATGCGATGGACTGCAATGAGGCTATTTGGGGAAGAGGAGGCCTCATGAGGTTTGCAAGGAGCCCAGCACCAGTGAGGGCATTGCTACAGGGGGTGGAGAGATCCCGGCACCAGAGGGAGCCACTACTGGGACTAAGGGCTCAGTGACAACAGGAGGCTGAGCTAGACTGCAGCCTCATCAAAAGAGACAATGGTTATATATAATCAGTGAGGCATGGGACATCGTAAAGGGATGATTTTGGAGCCAAGCTTCTATCCCATAAGGCTTAGGGTGTCTTGAGAAGCACTGACTTTGAGTGAGACCCGGCAAGGGATCCAAGATCATCAGGATCTAGTGGGGCTCAGCAGGACCATAACCACACAAACTTTGGGCAGCCTCCCAACTTGTTATTTCAACAAGATGTGGCAGGAGAGATTTAGAAGATGCCCGCAGGTCGGAGCAGGCACGGTCACGGAGCCCCAGGGTCATCACAGCTATCCCTGGGGATCCCGCGCCAAGACAGATGCATAAATTAACTTTCCATCAGTTAGTCATAGGAATTCCAGAAAAAAGGAAGAAAACTGCAAACAACACGGTAACACAACTCTGGCAAGAGTGCCAGATTGTTAGTGCAACTGTATTCACACTACACTTAACACTGTTGTGTAAAAAGGACCAGTCTTTTTTGTGTTACACTAATGTCCGTTTTCTTCAGAGGGATGATATTTTTAAAAGAATATTACCAAAGAGGAGGAAAACAAAAATTACTTTTTAATTATATCATTAATCCTTATCAATAGGTACCTACTGCATTCACAGAAGAAATAGAGTGCATGGCGACTCCTTTAAGCTCTCATCTTTCACCATGTACACCTTGCCCCTTGCCCCCACACTTCACTGCTTAGTGGAGGACCCTACTACTCTCTCCTGATTAGCAGGAAAGATAAAACTGTGGTTTTAAGCATGGCCCTGTTTTTGCCTCCCTGCCAGCAAACTACAGGGCCATCCAGGGCCCCTCAGCCAATCAGTGACAGAAGGCAAAAACGAAGCCATAATTAAAACTGCGGTTTTTGCCTCCCTGCAGATCAGGAGTGATCCACAAGCAGAGCCCTCCATCATTCAGCAGAGCTGGGGGTATGGGGTAACCTGCAAGATTAAAGGAGCCACCATGCACTGCACTTCAACCATGAATTCAGTAGGTCTCTGCCTATTAGCCTTCTAACAGGGATTTTGTCAGCTACAATTTGTAACAGACCATTGAGCTAAAAATATGTATTTCAAGAATAAAATAAGCTCCCAAAGTATCCTTAGTTTAAGCATTAATCTGAATCTTCAAACCCAAGATTACCTCAAAACAAGACAAAGCTTCTGAGGCTACCTTCGTTATTTCCAGTTATGAACTACACAACTGGTGATTCACTTATTGGAGATAATATAAGAAAGGTGAATGACAGGATTTTATTAGTTGTCCACAAGACAAAATTTCGCATAATCACCATTTACTACAAACTCACATTTCGAAATCTGACAAACTCTGGTCTTCAGATGTTTGACTCAAATCTCCAGGGACCTGCCATAGCAAAAAGAAAAACAACCACAATTACTATGCTTTCTATAAGTGAGGCTAGATACTATATGGAAATTACTACATTTAGTTTTTAGCATGCAATTGAAAAGCTGCTATTGTAAAAGAATAAAAGGAAAAAAAAGACTGTATTAAGGTAACATAATGCAAACATTCCATCATTGTGCATCTGCAGTTTCACCAAACCAACTGCTAATTCCATTTAGTACAAGTACACAACTTTTGAGACAAAGAATTAACTAGAATCCCAGACCAAAGGAAAAGGAAAAACATGACCTCAAACACAGTGCAAAGTATATGTCAACATTTGTTAGAAGAGATGAAGGATTAAAACCTGGTGAATGTCGTCATTATACAAAAAGAAATGCTTTTCAATACAAAAAGGACACACGATCATTTCTTTCTATCTTAGCTCTTACAAAAAAGGTGTGTGTGTGTGTGTGTGTGTGTGTGTGTGTGTGTAGCTCTCTTTAGGGAGAGGGTAAGATTTAAGGAGAGAACCACAGAATTTGTACTTACTGAACAAGCAATACTTGTGAGATAAGGGAAATGAAAGGAACATTTAGAGTTGAATCACTGATGGACCAAATAGAATTTTTCTAATTCATTGTGAAATCAGTTGAACTTTCTGTTCCTCAGCCCTACATACTGTGCAGAATCATAACCCAGTGGAATGAGTAGTTTCTGTTACAGAAGGGAGGATGCAAGATGCTGAGATTTCAGCACACAATGTCTGTACCTACCATATATGAGATAAATATGACTGTACAGGGCAAAACTCTTCTGCCTCCCTCTCCCTCTCCCTGCCACCAAGACCATACTACACCAATTGCATACTACTGCTAGCAGCTACTCTGTGGTATATCCAAGGGTTTAAATCTTCCTGAGGACCTTTGTGGATGTCAATGTAACTGCACGACTGAATTTTAATTTTTTTTTCAGTTTGTTTGTTTTTTTTTTTATCAAAAAACACCTAAAAATTGCACACTTTATATACGTAAAAACCATTTCTAAAGTCACAGAGTGATTCACTCAAAAGGTAGGAAATTCCTAATTAATGTTACCAGTCAACGTTGATCCAAGCTCCTACTGTGTTTGCGTTATGACGGTCTTTAATTATATGATCTCACACTATTTTTCCACAGGATCCCTGCATCATTTGGTACACAGAATGGAGAATTAATGAGCAAAACAATGTTTATCAAACACCATTCAAACCCTGTTCTGAAGACCGAACAATTTATTTTTTCATGAGCTTTTCTATTATTATTTAAATTATCATGGCGCTTAGATGCTGTAATCAAGGGACCCCATTGTGCTATGTGCTGTAAAAACAGAAAACAAAAGGATGGCCTCAATGTATCACTCATCCAAAAAAATCTTTAATATGAAAGGATAAATGTTACTTTCTGCAAGCCTGAGTTTCTGTTGCTCTTTTCTTTTTTATTGTCTAGACTGAGTCTATGATCCTGTTTTAAATGAAGTCAATAGAGGAGCTGTTAACTCAAGTTGACTAACACAGCTGTACTTTAGAAACACTCCAAAAAGTTTGTTTCACCTTATCTTGGGCTTTGGAATAAATTACTGCAGAGTGCCTAGAGAAATATCTATAATGATGCTTATTAGCTTGAGTTACCTGGCTGTCAGTTAACTTGAGTTAAAACAAGACTATAAACGTTAATCTATGTAAATCCCTTGTGCAATTATTTACCTTGGGACAAAGCAACTGAATATTATACTAAATGAGAGTGGCAGATATTTGCACCCAGTTAAAAATACTATACTAGGTTCAGGGCAATGGGGAACAAAGCTAAGCATCTACAAAATGGTTTCCTTAGCAATGTTTCACGCAACACTTAAATACTACTGATTAAGGACCAGAGTCCATTACTCTAACTCATACTGGGGGCTGTGCACAGCTCCATATGAGTAAGAGTGACAAAATCTAATGCTGAATTCATATGTAACATATGCTGTGATATTTTCCTTTCATCCCTGAATTAAATCCTTAGTGAATCATTAGGGTTGTACTACCTCATAAATCAATTGGTTTTGATTTCCTTTTCAGAAAAGATTATTACCTTAATAAAATAACTTGAATCCTTCATTTCCATGAAAAGTAACTGCATTTAAGACATACCATAACTTCTTACATACAACATGCCCTGGCATAAGATACATACCTTGTTTCTGAAAGGTAAAATGAAAAGAAAGCTCTTTCCTTGTTGTAAGTTACTGAGCCACACCAGCTAGAGAGCCAAGCGTCCTCACTGATCTATTCCCCTGAAGCATATGCAGTTATTTGCACTTTTACCCAGCAGAAGTAAAGCAACAGAAACTGCCACTAATGTACTTCCTTGCTTACAATGCACACCCCAATTTTCAGCAACTGTTTTTTCGGGGGGGGGAGAAGTGCGTTGTATATGAAAAAAATACAGTATTTGAACCCTACAATGCTAGTATGAGCAATGACATGAGACAGTTCAATGACCTGTGTAGTAAATACAATGTCAACAATATCTATTTACTGCAAGATTATAGAAAATCACTTGCAAGAAACCAGTAAATGGGAGCTATTGTGCAGTGTCTTGATGTACAGTCAGAGCAACATGCCATTCCTGGGATAATTGCACACCAGTCTAGATAAAAAACAATTTGCAAACATTTTATATAAGCATGTTATCCAGAGATTTTTCCAAGGCTAAGAATACATTTTATTTTAACACCAAAATTAAGAATTACATTAATTGCCTGTCAAATCTGAATATTATAATATGCTAATACAAACAGAAAATATTATTGGAAATATTCTGTTATTACTTTATAAGATCAAGGTTTGATATAGTCTCTAAAAAACAAAAGAGAAATACAAAGCAAAAACAAAAATCCACAGCATTCCTCCTGCAGCAGGAAGCTTTGCAATTTGCCTCGGCTCTAAAGAGAACCAATTTGTCCCAGTCTATAAGTAGGCAGCATTTCAGTATTTATAGATCTAAAAACATGTGGCTGGACAAAAAGCTTTTTAATAGCTAGCTATTCAAAACAGTAGCTAAAGTAAACATGGCACTTTTTGTGTCATGTTTCAAATGATTTTTGTAAAACCATCAATATTTTAGGGTTATCATGGAATCATTGGAACTTGGGGTTGGAAGGGACCTCAGGAGGTCATCCAGTCCAACCCCCTGCTCAAGGCAGGACCATCCCCAAGTACATCATCCTAGCCAAGATTCTGTCTAGCTGGGTCTTAAAAACCTCCAAGGATGGAGATTGTATAACCTGTCTGCGTAACCTGTTCCAGTGCTTTATTACCTCCTAGTGAGGTTTTTCCTAATATCTAATCTAAACTTCCCTTGCTGCAACTGCATTGCTCCTGGTTCTGTCATTTGTTACCACTGAGAACAAATCTAGCTCCATCCTCTTTCAGGTAGTTGAAGGCTTCTATTAAATCACATCACAGTTTTCTTTTCTCCAAACTAAATAAGCCCAGTTCCCTCAGCCTCTCCTCAGAAGTTAGGTGCCTTGGCCCCCAAACCATTTGTGTTGCCCTCCATTGGACTTTCTCCAATTTATCTACATCCTTTCTGTAGTTGGGGACCCAAAACTGGACACAGTACTCCAGATGTGGCTTCACCAGTGCTGAAGAAAGGGGAAGAATCACTTCCCTCGATATACTGGCAACTCTCTTACTAATGCAGTCCAGAATGCTGTTAGCCATCTTGGCAACAAAGACACGCTGCTGGCTCAGTCAACTTACTGTCCACCGTAACCCCCCAGGTCCTTTTCTGCAGAGCTGCTGTTTAGCCAGTCAGTCCCCAGACTGTAGTGGCACATGGGATTGTTCCATCCTCAGTGCAGGATTTTGCACTTGTCCTTATTGAACCTCATGAGATTTCTTTTGGTCTAATTTGTCTAGATCCCCCTGAATTCTAGCCTTACCCTCCAGTGTATCTGCTACTCCCCCCAGCTTGGTATCATCTGCAAACTTGCTGAGGGTGCACTCCATCCCATCTTCCATGTCATTAATGGAGACACTGAACAAAACTGGTCCCAGGACCAACCCTTGGGGCACTCCACTTGAGACTGGCTGCCAACTAGACACTGAGCCATTGACTACTACCCTCTGAACCTGATGACCCAGCCAGTTTCCTATCCACCTTACATATATCCACCATATCCAAGGCCTTGCTAAAGTCTAGGTATATCACATCCACCATTCTTCCTGCACCACAGAACCAGACATCTCATCATAGGAGGCAATTAGGTTGGTCAGGCATGACTTGCCCTTGGTGAATCCATGCTGACTGTCCCTAATCACATTCTCCTCCACATGCTTAGAAATGGATTTCTTGAGGACCTGCTCCATGATTTTTCCAATTACTGAGGTGAGACTGTAATTCCTTGGATACTCCTTCTTCTCACTCTTAAAGACAGGCACTATATTTGCCCTTTTCCAGTCATCCAGGACCTCTCCTGATTGCCATGATTTTTCAAAGTTGATGGCCATTGGCTCTGCAATTACATCAGCCAACTCCCTCAGCACCCTCAGGTGAAACCCATCCAGGCCTATAGACTTGTACATGTCCAGCTTGCCTAAATAGTCCCTAACCTGTTCTTCCACCAGTGTCAATAGCTGACCTCCTCCCCAAACTGTTCTGCCAGGTGCGGTAGTCTGGAAGCTGACCTTGCCTGTGAAGACTGAGGTGAAAAAGGCATTGAGCACTTCAGCCTTTCATGCATCATTTGTCACTAGGTTGCTTCCCCGATTCAGTAAGGGACTTGCACTTTCTCTGATCCACCTCTTGCTGCCGACATAATTGAAGAAACCCTTCTTGTTGCCCTTCGCTTCCCTTGCTAGCTGCAACTCCAGTTGTGCTTTGGCCATTCTGATTTCATTCCTACATGCCCGAGCAATACTCTTGTACTCCTCCCTAGTTGTTCGTCCAAGTTTCCACTTCTTATAGCTTACTTTCTGTGTTTTAGCTCGC